TCTATAAATGCTCACAAATGGGGAAGGTTAATGTAAGACCTGAAATAAAGCATGCCAATGGCGTTCAAATTGATTCTAGCTTGGGGAGCACTACCCAGCTAAATGTGGGCTGGTAAGTTTGAGCAGTGCTATGGAGCCTGCAGAGGAAGAGTCACTGGTTGGTGAAGAGGCCGAACAACAAGCAGACTGGGGAAGGCTGCTGCTCTCCACCTGGAAGTGTGTGGGTTATGCCCTAGTTGTCAGCCCCCAGCACTGCCCTAACAGCACATCTGCACAGCCACACATCCACACACACAGGGCCCTGCCTCTGCTTGTTTCTGACACAGAAGATGTGCAGCAGGTAAGAGTTAGGTGAGGAGGCAGCTGATGTCCTGAGGCCATTGTTCAGTGAGCTCTTTACTGATTGAATTCCTGAAACCGAGGCACCCCACCTTCACTCCAAGCCTCCCCTGGGCAGTCAACACAGGTGAGACAACATACAAATAGGACAAGACACCCTCCCACGAGGAAACTGCAGAAATGGCACAGTCTGACCCAATTTGTCTCTTGTTCATTTGCTGCTTTCCACTGTCCTGTTTCCCAGAGGACATTGGTCTCATCAGCAAGCCACATCTCTCCAGAACCTTCCTTTGCCTGCCATGCATCCCTGACAGATGCCTGTGATTGGACCTCCCTGCTCTACTTTTGCTGGCAGCCAGAAATCCCTCCCCACCCCACAGTCCTGCCCATCCTGAATCCCCCTTGCAGAGGAGGACTGGTGGCAGAGATTATGTTGCCTCTTCCCTGGGCTCCCTGTTTGCTCCTAGCTCTGGCATTGCAGCTCCACTATCTTTCCCTGCATGTCCAGCCTTCACCTACCTGAAAACTCACCTCTGTGCGAAAAAGATTCCCAGAGATGCCACCTGCAGCTCCAGTGCCTGCATGCCAGTTAGCCTATGCTGTGTTTTGTCTCTCTCTCGCTGATCATTATTTGCCCAGCTTCCTCTCAGGCTGCTGTTCCGTTTCCACTTCACCTTTCAACTTTGACAATGTAAGCAGGGGAATTCCCAGCTGGGTGGTCTGGTTGGCATAAGAGCAGTTACGCTATCATGCCTTTTAAATGTGCCAACACAGAAGTCTGGATCTATGGTAAGAATGTACTGTGTGAAAACTAAGGCTTCTCCCACATCTTTCTTTGACCATGTCTTTGTAACTTTCAAGATTTGTTTTCCTTCTTACCTCTAGGCACATGTTTCTCCTAATTTGTTTTATCAGAGCTCAGTGTTTGCTCTTGAATGATTCACTCATCACCTACCTAGATCTTAGCCTTGATTAAACCATGAGCTATGTTTCTCCAAGACAGTTAACAAAAAATTGCTTCCTAGTCTTCATAGCCCTGGGAGACAACATTGTAACAGGAAAACAGAACTGAAAGTCGTGTTTGCAGGCTCCACCTACAGAAATTATCCTGTGTAGACACACATACAAATACACACACAGGAGTGTGAATAGATACACATTTATAAAAGCACATACAAACATATACCTGAAGATGTATAAATATAGCAACAGAAAATATACGCAAATGTTGCTATTTTTCAAATATTTAGTCAGCCCACACACCAAAGCTTTAGTATTTCACACAAAATAATTACATGGCTAAAATTTGATCAAGATCTAGACTTTCCTGTACTTAAACTCCAACAAAACAAGCAATAGGGAACATGAAAATGTTGAGTTAGAGAAACCACACCTAACTTAATCCCTTCATAGACAATTTCAGGTCTCTGAATAATAAGAAACTCTACAATACAAGAAATCCAAGCATTCAGTGTGGGACTGACTACCTTAATGTAAACATCTGTATCTACCTTCTTGTCTAGACTCCCTTTGTAATCATTGGAGAGCAATATGGTAGTTCTAGGAGATACCTCACACTGAAGTACAGAGATGAACTGCCTCTTATACCTGTGATTTTCATCACCGACTACAAAGGAAGGTAAGTAGAGCACTCAGACTTGCATGCCCAGTGATTACATAAATACGCTCTGAGAAGTAGAAGAGCAAAACTTAAAACTGAGCCAGTCTGCAACACCATCTAGCCCACACACTGGAAACCCAGTCTCACATTCAAAAATAGAAGGCTTCAGCTATTTCTGTGAGTAGGTAAAAAGGAAAGTGGTGGTGGTGATCATGAAGAGAAAAACAAGCATTCCCAGGAAGAAAGGGACACAGGGAAATATTGATTGAACCCCATAGCTTTTAATTTCATTTGAAAATTACAGTGGCATTGCTAGAAACTAGTTGGGGATAGCAGTAACAGGAGTAAAAATTAGAGAAATACCCTGCACTCAGCAAAATGTATTTAGAAAAGTATGTCAAGCCCAACACTGTTTCCTAATATCACAGTTATTGGCAGGGACTTCTAAAGACAAGAGCATCAAATTACTGGAAATCCTAAAACAGGCCTTTTCCAGTTGGTAAAATGATAGTTATCTCTATATAAAACAAAGCCAGTTGCAGTTTCAAAGAAAAATAAGAAAATATTCTTAGCAGCAAGACACAGAGATATGCAGCCTTTTGTGGAAATATGTTGAGATGGGGGCTGCGGACTTCTATGACTTCAAGGCTCCTTTCAAGTTTTCCCAAAACACCTTCTGCTGCTCTTCACCAGCAGGCCACTCCAGGTAGGTCTTGGTGTTCATGATCTTGCGCAGCTTGCAGAACCTCTTGGGAATGGCTTTGCTCTGGATGGGCTCCAGGAGGACGAGAATCGC